TTGAACAAATTAAGTTCAGGAAGCATGTTCAGGTTCTGCTGTGTCTTACAACTGGGAGCCATTGGAAGCCCTCACTTTCCACACACAAGTCACACCCCAAAGCAAAAAGATTCTATTCTTCCTTGCTCCCACCTGAATGTCACCTCTTAGGATGAAGAACCAAGTCTCGAGGGTGGAATGCATCAATTCTGCTTTGTCTAGATTTGTCAGCTTGTCACCCAGGAATGTTAATGATCTTCATGCACGGCCTGCAGCCTTCAGAAGTAAAATGGCTCATTTAGAACATTAAGACTTCCATCAATTTACATTTAGTGCTTCCAGGCAGTAAAGTTCTCTTAGTTCTACCAGTTGATTGTATTTTCCAAAGGGATTTTATCTACCTATCTGCTGTGTCTCAGTGGGATGGTGATGACACACCCACATGGCTCACACACTGATAGACAGGTGGTCAGACTGATAAACACCAGCCAAGGATCATTTTGGCTGGCTGCAGGAACGGTCTGATTTCAGAAAATGGCACAGCTTTCAATGTAGTTGAAGGCACTCAACACTGGAGCCCTGTTAGAAAGGGCTCCAGTGACTCCTTTGCAAGTTACCCAGCCTGCTAACCCCAGAAGAAATACTGTCAAATCTGGTGGTACTGGAGTGATACACAGCGAGTTTTTCATGGCTTTTTCATGGTATCAATTTCCTCTGGCCAGTGGGAAGTCATAGTTGTGCAGCTGCAGGTGATGACAGCTGAGATGCTTTATCTCCCACCCATAACAAGCTACTGACATCCACATTATTATTTACTGTGAACCAGCTACTAACAGTAGTGGAAGATATTGTGATATCTCTGCTGCACATTAGTATCTGCTTTCAGTCAAATAGAGCTCCTTTGAGTGAGAGTTATGCATGACATATAAGACTGCTGGAGGAAATTTCTCTGGCATCCAACAGGCAGAAATGCAAGTACAGCACAAACATACAACCTAGCACATGAATACACATCACTACATTTTTAAAGGCACGTATAAGGTTGTCATATATGGCACACTTCTCTGAATTAGGACTTTATTTCTTTCTGAATTTTTCACCCCTTGCAAGATTTACTGAAACTTTTTCCTCACTGAGCACAATACTGAACCAGAGTTGATATTTGAAAGCCAAGACAGTTGTCTAAATCCAAAAGGCAATAAATCCATATGAAGTCAAAAGGGCAGAATGATCCCAGGATAGCTGGAAGAGGGTTATTTCTAGGCTGATCTCCAGGTGGAAACCAACCACCACTGAGCTGCCAGTGTAGTTGCCTGGCACTTCAGACCTTTTATTTTTTGAATTTGCTCTTAATGTAATATTTCTGTCCCTTTGAACAGGATTCACTGAACTTCCACAGGGTGCTTGACTCCCTGAGTCAAGCTAAGACTTGAGCTGAGACTTGGCTTTCAGGGTAAGAAAGGTCCACATCTGATCTCTCATCTCCAAGCTTTCAGAGGAGGTAGGAGCCCCTCAATCCCCTGTCTGGTCCATACCCAGCACCAGGGTAGCTTGTCATGGCCACTGATAGGGATGAAGGCCCTGGCCTCAGGTCTGCAGCTTCTTCCGTCCCTGTGAAACACATACTGATGTATTAGGGGAGGGGGGGAGAGGAGAGAGAGCCCCGCTGTCCACACCAGCAATGACTCAAGATACTATTTCTGACATCTATTTCACAAGCTATTCTTCTTCTATGCTGCTCCTGTGAGCCCAGGAAGACGGCTAAGGGCTAGACTCCAGGATGCTAGACTAGGCAACTCAGAGTGATCACAGAATCATAGAACCATTAAGGCTGAAAAAGACTCCTGAGGTCATCAAGTGCAATCACCAAAATTCACCACTAAATCACATCCCTAAGTGCCACATCTCCCCTTTCCTTAAACACTCCCAGGGCCAGTGACTCCAACACCTCCCTGGGCAGCCTGTGCCAGTGCAGCACCATTCTTACAGAGTAGAATTTTTTCCTAATATCCAACCCAAACAACCTCTGGAGCAATTTGAGGCCCATCCTTTCCATCCTGTCACTTATATGGGAGCAGTGACCGAATCCTACCTCACCACAATGCCCCTTCTGGTCCTTGTAGAGAGCAGTAAGGTCTTCCCTGAACTCCTCCAGACTCAACAATCTGTTCCGTGAGCCACTCCCTATAAGACTTGTCCTCCAGATCCTTTACAGCTCTGTTGTTTCCCTTCTCTGCACACACTCCAGTGCCTCAATGTTTTTCTTGTAAGTGAGGGGCCCAAAACTGAACATAGTAGTCAAGTTGCAGCTTCACAGTATAGAATACAGAGGGATGGTCACCCCCCCCACTCCTACTGACTGCACTATTTTTGATACAAGCTAGCAATACACAACTGTATAATAAAACATTTACACATAAAATAGAAAGACCCCCTCTCCTCTTTATTCTTACAGCAAAAACCTTGCAAGCCTCTAGGTAATTATTTAAAACAAATAATAACCCAAATCTTCAGGGACTTCACAGCCCCATGCAGCACTGATGCCTGCCTTGGCCTGGCCTTTCAAGCTGTCTCCCTGTAGCTGCCACCCATGCTGCGTCCAGCACGTGTCCTGGCATGGATCAGCTGTGTTTGTTCCTCCTGCCACCACCTGGGGCTGGGCTGCACAGTGGTGACTCATCTGCCCTGAAACATGGACCATGTGGTGGGAACCACCTCTGAGTCATAGACCTGCCCCAGTGCTGCTAATGGCTCAGCGGAAGGCGCACAGCCTTTTATTTTTCTCAGCAGTCTTCCCAGTTGAGCCACCAAGTCCTCTGCAAACGGTTCAAACCTCCTGGCAGTCACACAGAGCTTGGAGTTAAGTTGAAGTTTGCAGGACCGTAGTCGCACTTGGTTCAAGATAGGTGTTCAAAGGCACGTTGGATGGGACCATGGGCAACCTGATCTAGTAGTTGTCAGCCCTGCCAACAGCAGGGGAGTTGGAACTAAATGACCTTTCAGGTACCTTCCAACCCAAGCCATTCTATGATTGTAGATACATGATGAGCCCCAGTGAGTAGCAAGGGTACAATGGAGCGGAGGATTCATCCTATGAGATCTTGAGTATGCAAAGCACTATGGAAACATGAGACACCTTCAGTCCTATACCCTGATTTCTCCATCCCTCTTTCAATTCTTGCAAAGGGGAACATTCACTCCCCACTGACTTTCCCCACCCCAGATCCCACCTTGCAGAGACTAGCCTGTACATGGGCTTTACATTCCTCCCCGGCCCCCAAGCCAGACCACAGCATCACCCATTCCCATCCAGCCACCATCACCATGTGCCATCAGCTTGCAGGGGCCACCACAAGTAGGATGCTCCCATGGAGCCAAATGTCTGATGGCACCTGCAGGGTGGAGGACACTCACTTTCCTGTTCCTCTGGTCAAGGAGGAGCTTCGCTTGGGAACAGCCAGGGCTGGAGCAACTGGCTAAGAGCACAGGGAGAAGAAGCACAGTGATGGAGCAAAAGCGGGGTGACAGGTAGTGGCTTCGCATGGCAGGGATGATACACCAAGCTGGTGAGCAAAGACAAGAGAAAGGAAAAGCTGAAAGGAGACAGGTGCATGAAGAGATGGGGGCGGTGGAATGGGTTGGTGAAGGGTTGCAGGAGAGAGAGTTCTGGCTATTCAGCTGGGCACCACATCTTGCACTGCAAGTGGTTCATCTCTGCCTACAGTAGTTTGCTTACTGCTTTGAAAAGTATTAATGCTTGGAAAAGGAATAAAGTGTATACCTTATATATGTTTTTTGTTTGTTTTTTTTTTTTTTTGTTAATAATGGTGATCTATTTATAGGCTGCAAATTATACACTGCAAACATTGCTCAGAGACAAGACATTATTTTGTTGCCAACAGGGAAAAGGGAAGGAAGGGGAAAAAGAGACAGAGAGAAGTAGAGATAGGAGAGGAAAAAGAAAGATATACTTCCTGATGCAACTTGCTCATCAGCAGCACAGGGCATGCTGCATGCTGGAGGAAAAACTCAGAGAGCAAGCATGTTGGGTCAGCTGGAACCAGACCCCTCCCCTTTCTGACATGAACAAAACATATGGAGTCATTCCTGAATGAGTTGGGGCTTATCCTAGGGCCCTATGAGCACCATAAAATATGTTGCAGAAAAGCTGATGGCCTGTGGCATATGGCATGTTCCTGCCTGCTGTAGACCTGCGAATGGCCACCTGGCAAGTTCTCTTGGTCCCCAGGAAGTCACTGGAGCATGGCAGAATAAGGTTTTACTATCCCCCATCTCTTTCCAGTCCCCCCCACCCCAAGCAACCTTCTCTCTTCTTTTGTAACCAGATTGCCACAGAGCTGGCATTTGAAATCAAATTCATCACCCAAATTTAGAAACCCAGTCACAGTGCTTCCCTTTTCAGTCAATAGAAAAAGGGAGAGAAGGCAAATCACCTTCCTGATGTCCCTAAAATATCTAATTGAATATTATAGTTAAGACCTAACATTAGATGAGACAAGTCCAGGCCTTACGAGAAAACCAATGAATTGCTTCCATCAAGTTCTCTGTGTCCAGAATGAAACAAGTCAGGAGTAATCCTAGGTCATGACAAAGACTTATTTCCAATGCAAGCACTGATAAACCTTCCCAAGAAGCCTGGGGCTTCAGAAAGGATCAGAGAAAAATCTAGCACAGCTTCCCTTCTTTCTGAGTCTTCCTGACCTCTTTCTTTGGATATCCGAGCTTCATCACCTAGTTGTTCTTTTCTTTCCACAATAATCCACTTATTTTTTCCTCATGTAGATTTTAGTGTGTTTAGTATCCTACTCCTTTCGTTTATATGAATTGGGAAAAGAATAAGAGGCTTTGGCCAAACCTGCCTATACAATTAAAAACTTTTCCTCACCTCTGAGATTATTTATATATAAATCTATATATTATATATGTATATAGATGGATAGATATAGATAATCTCAGAGGTGAGGAAAAGTTTTTACATATAAAAATATATATAAATAAACTTGGAATTTGAACCCCATTTATTCCACAGCCACAAGTGAAAAGCACTGGCATTACAAATATGGCCTTGCATGCCAGCCCATCACAAAACACTTGTAACACTCTCTGAGAGACGCCACAATCCAGGTATGGACCAGAATGAGGTACTACTCCTTGCATAGTCTCAAATACAAGGAGTTCATGTGCAGGGACAGGCAACACTGAGATCCAAATTCAGTTTTTTCTCTATTCTCATTTGGCTCAGATTTGGAGCACCCACAGTCAACCATGTTCTGCAGACAGGGCTTCTCTGTATTTCAGTGAGGACAAGAAGAGATGCCAATATGCAGAATTAGAAGAAGATGAGACAGGTTCATTTGACAGTCTGTTGAAACATGGGCAACTGAGTAACTGGAGGCTGAGTGACTGGCAGGTACTATTTGTCATTGTTTCAAGCCATGGGTTATTCTAGAGGAAGAGACAATTTAAGGCAGCAATCCTCAGGGTGAAGCTTCAGCAAGATCATGCATTTGGATCTGAGCCTGCAAGGCAAAAATACAAAGGGATTATTGGAGCTGCTTGCTAGGAAGGATGGCATGCACATGCAAGATGGTGCCATGCTCAATATCATGCAAGGAAATCTCCTGCGAGCTCTGGCAAACAACACAAGAGCATTAGTGCACTTGACACTGAGTGCCTGCCTTCTAGAGCTGCAGTTACAGGCCAGCCTAGGACACTGCCACACCGAGACATCATTTTCATGGTGCATTTCCATCTGGTGACCTGTGTGCAAAGGGTCTCTCTAGTTTCACCTAAAAAGGTACAGAAACGCTGTCACAGATTAAATATATATATATATATATATATATATATATATATATATATATATAAAGGGTAACTCCTACACAGTTATGTACAGATATCTGAGCAGACACTCAAAATGTTACATCATACAAAGTCCTGTAAGAGTGTTATATAGAGGCCCTGCAGGTATTATCTGATGAAGATCCTCTAGCACAGATACTGTGTTGCCAAACTGCCTTTGCATCCCAGCAGTGGCTGTTTCCACCTACAGGAGAGGACATCCACGCAGGCAGTGATGTGTGGGAAGAGAACTGGTAAAGCAAGTGCTGCTGCCAAATAAATAGTAACTTGGATCTCCAGGGGTTTCTGTTTGGCCGGGAGGACAAGTCAACCAGCGGAACAGATTAGCCTAGCTACTTATGCAGACTCCTGGGAACAGCCCTACCTAAGCACAGCAAACCCTTCCCCCACAAGCTCTAATCTTACCAGAGCTCAGATACAAGCAACATGAAAGACCCCACATTGTTGCCTCCTCTTAAAGTCGGTGCTAAAGCTAAACCTGTCTTCATCAGGTTAGAGAGCCACGTTGCCTCCTCAAACCTCAATATCTCTAATCCTGCCTCACACCCACTCCTGAAGCTCAGAACTAATTCCCGGACCAGTGCTCCCAGCAAGCAGACTGGCAGCCCGTACCCTTGGCAGGGACTTGCAGCCAACCTGTATTTCCACTGGTGCAGCAAATCAGAACTGAATAGTCTCCTAACCTGAGCCTTATAGGGCACAGCGGTCTCCAGATCTACTGTCTGTATTGTTCACACTCACACTACACAGCCCAACTGTATCTGCTGCTCCAAGGGCAGCCCCTGCCAGGAAGACCCAGCAGGGCTGAAGTTCTGCAGAATCACAGCTGCTCCTTTGTCCTGATTTCCCCCAGCTCCTCTATGATTTCATTCAGCTGAAGTCACTACAGCTTTTCCAAGTCTATGTAGGCAGGGCAGATCCCTTGACAGTTTTTTTTTTTTTTTCTTTTTTCTTTTAAATAAGTACTGTTTGGGGGTGGAGGAAATGCAAAAGCCTGAACCTATAGGATAAAATTTCCACTAAGCCTCAGGGAAGAAGCTGCCTGATTGATGGGTAGCATTACTATAGAGGGAAAGAACAAACAGGGTGAAGATGCTGCCAGATGGGAAACTGAATCCTTCTTGGCTCAGTGCACATAGATGTAGCTGGCGGTATACATATCATTGGCAGATTCTGCAAACAAGCTTTAATTCTAAGCATTGCTAATATCAAATTCTGCCACTGTCTATTAGCAGCAACAAATATTGCACTCTAATGACTGGAGAGCTTGGAAAAACCTTTCCTTGTCCCACTCAGCAGATTTTACCTCTGACCTTAGTAGTTGCCAGCAAAAGAGACTGAAAGGAAATCTTTGAAATCTGAAATCTTTGCCCACACTCCTTCCACCCCTCCATCAGCTGGAACCTCCATGCAAAGACCCACGAGGGGTGGCTCTTTGCAGAAAGCAAGATGGTTTCTACGTGGGTGAGATCGTTGTGAGGGTTCTGGAGAAGGAGAAAAATCTCCTGTGTTACTAAGCAGGGATCTGAAGGCTGTTGCTGGGGGAGAAGCAGAAGAATTCCATAAAAGGAAAAATTATTCTGCCTACAACCAAACTACCTCACCTCTGATCTTGTCAGATCTTACAGCAGCAGGGCTGGTCAGCACAAGAGGGACAGTCCCAAGTGGAGCACAGATGGAGCTTCTCATCCCACATGGATCCTGTGTGCTTTTTAAGGTTTTATTTTCTGACAGGGAAGCGAGCACTCTATGATCCAGGGGGTGCTACGGGCACATCATATGAAGCATCTAATCCTGCTTTCTCATCTAATCCCAATAGGAGGAGTTCAGTAATGCCTGAATACAATCCCTCTTTCCACTTCTTTCTTTCCATCTGAACTGTTCCAGCTGCTTGCAAGCCTCAGCACTGTTTGAACATCTGAGCGTAAAATGTATTTCTATTAGAATTGATGGAAGGAACAGAGTGATCCATTGCAAAGTCATCCATTGAGAATCATAGAATCATTAAGGTTGGAAAAGACCTCTAACGCATCAGGTCTAATCATAGAATCACTCAGGTTAGAAAATATCTTAAAGATCATCGAGTCCAATCACAACCTAACTATACTACCCTAACTCTAACAATCCTCTACTAAATCATGTCCCTGAGCACCACATCCAAACAGTTTTGAAACGCATCCAGGGATGGTGACTCAATCAGTTCCCTGGGGAGCCTGTTCCAGTGCTTAACTACCCTTTCTGTAAAGAAGTTTTTCCTGATATCCAACCTAAACTTACCCTGCCACAACTGAAGGTCATTAATCTTCTCACTGGCCATCATCCCCCTACCACCAGGGCTGGCCACCTAACCGTATCCTTAAGTACCACATCTACACATTTCTTGAACCAATGATGGGGACTCCACCACCACCCTGTTACAGTGCCTGACCACTCAAGGTGACCTCTTGCCTGATGAACAGGAGACTCCCAGGATATGAACACAGGAACGGCCATGGCCCTTCCTGAGCTTAGAATTTCCACCCATTGGAGTTGACATGTTTCACTGTGGACTCCTAGGAAGAGACACCAGTTAAACTCATCCCTCTTTCCTGCAGCACCCAGGGATTACTTAAGGCAGTTTGTCTCCCTGTTTCGCCTCTGTACTGACAGCAGTGTTGCAAGTGCTGTGACACCACAGCAGCACACTGGGACATGGATGGCAGCAAGGTTAAGTATACCCTTGGCTCAAGCAAGTCAGTGTTGATTTCTCTCCATATGCCTGTTGTTTAAATTAACTGTATGACAAGCAGAAGGAAAAGAATATATCAGGAGAAGGAAATAACCAACTCTTGTCCTGCTGCTCTTTGGCCAGTAAAGTGATAAGACAGAAAAGAGAGAGCAGGCTTTTCCTCTGCAGCATTAAGAAGCTGAGAATTGCAGAGCAAATGAAAAGTATATTTGAAGATAGCACAAATCCTCGATAAAGCCTCTCTGAAACTTGCAGAAAAATTTCAAAGTGTATCAGGAAAGCTGGGATTCTCTAAAGGATAAATCCATTACACAGGGTGAACAGAGGAGGAGAGATAGACACAGATGGTCAGTCTGGGCTCTCCAAAGCAGGGCAGGAGCGTAGCATGAGCTTTAACCACTTTGCAGCACTTCAGATCTCTGTCAGGAATGGAGATGAAGCACCTCTCCTTCAGTCTCTCATTTCAGAGAGCCAGCATACTGGCATTGAAGGCAGAGACTGCTGGAGCAACCACAAGTGTTGCCTAGTCCCCATCCCATCTTTCTCTCTTCCTCAGGCAAGGAAAAGGTTGTGATCAGGGTGGTTGCAAATGTGGTGTTAAGGCCTTTGGAAGGAGCTGTAGATACAGTCACTAACCCAAAATCTTGGTATTCTCCAGTGCCTCCTAGAGGAGAGCAAGCAGAAGCAGGCTCTGCCTCATTTTCTAGATCTGCACTCGCCTTAGCTACCCCAGTGTGAAATCATTCAGCCTAAATTCTGTCTGCTCACAGAATGGCCAGGGTTGGAAGGGACCTCTCTGTCCGGTAGTTGAGGAAAACATTCTTTAAATGCTGAAGAGAGGAGCCCATCCTCCCCATGCTGCACATCCAGCATGAATTGCTCAGGAAGGCTTCTCAGAGGATACAAGCTATTTATCCCTTTCATAGAGGGATAGAATTAATAAACTTGGAAAAGACCTCTAAGATCACCTAGCCCAACCATCAGCCCATCCCCACCATGCCCACTGACCATATCCCTCAGTGCCACATCCACACGGTTCTGGAACACCTCCAGGGATGGTGACTGCACCGCCTCCCTGGGCAGCCTGTGCCACTGCAGCACCACTCTTTCAGAGAATTTTTTTTTTTTTTTTTTTTTTTTTTTCAAAACTAATACCCAACCTGAACCTCCCCTAATGCATCTTGAAGACATTCCCTCTCTTCCCTATTGCTGTTGTTATCTGACAAAAGAGGCTGACCTCTACCACACTACAAAC